CAAGAGAATACGATTCCCCACATGCTCAACCGATTTGCTAGTCGAGTTTTGACAAGTTTTAGTTAGCTGAAAACTCTCTCACACTCTGCTGAATTTATTAGAATTAAATACAGTATCTAAGATAGTCTTCAGCATAAAATTGTAACTGGCGAGGAAAGAAGGCAAAGTTTTGTTATCCTTCTCAGCAGTTTTTCTGTTGATCATTTAAACTGATACCAATTTTAAATTTTCCTATTACTGATTGAATTAGAATTAATTAAATGATTGAATTGAATTAATTCTTGAGAATTAGAGTTATGAAAATTATGACTAATATCTTTACTCATATTCTTCAATAAAAAGAAGTCTATGCTTTATAAAAACTTCCACTGTGAAGAAACTTTGTCAACAAGAACTGCAGTTGCTGAATTTACTAAAGTATAAAACACTTCTGCTAATCATTAATCTTTAGCCTGAGTAAGATGCTCATCATCTTTTTCATCGAAGTCCAGTCGTTTTTTTCGCAACAAATGTTTGCTGTTTAAGCTGAGCTTCAGTTGCAATTTTTACAGCAGAAAAATTAGAATTTTAGCCAGCACTGTCCCTTAGTACTTGAAGCTTTTCAAGTGATACATCAACAGACATTAAAGCATAAAAAAATAAAGTGTTCCTCCTTGAAGAAATTTACTTAGGAGACTCAAGACACTAAAAATTTCTTTGAAGAGAAATAAAGTCATAATTTTTTTGTATGACTTAAATCGAGATAAAAGATCTTGTGCTTCACTTCGAATATTCATTTTAAATTCTATGTCAATTGAAATTTGTTCAAGGCAATCAATTACTGCAGGGTATAGTGTCAGCAGTCGGTCTGTAGCATTTTTCAAGGCACTGAAACGAACGCTATGGGTAGCTGCCAGTTTTATTTCGTTTCCTTGAGTTTCCGTATAGAAAAGTTTTTTATTTCGCCACATCAGCTGGATTATTTTCTGTTCCAAAAAGGTTATCAAAAACAACAGAAGATTTTGCAAAAACTTTCATAATCAGATTTGTTCCATAAGATCCGCAATAAATATTTATTACCATGGTAAAACACTGCTTTAAATGTGTTGGAACTCCTTTGTTTATTACTTGCATATTGCTCACACCATCAAAAGACATACCCACACACTTTTGAATATCTACGTTGTTGGATTTGAGTTTATCTTTGAGTTTATTTTTTCACTAATTCCTTCACCAATAGTTGTTTCAATTTCAACCATTGAAATCAAATGTTCCTTTACAACGGCCTCTTTGCAGTAAGTGTAACATAGTTCACTATCTCAGAGTCATCGTAAAAGTTGGCTTCCTCATTTCCACCTAAAGAAATACATTATGCAATTAAATACCAAATAGCATCAATAACTCGTATTAGGTATTGATGTACTTTTTCCACTTCTTAACGTTTTTTGTTCAGATGTCTCATGGCTTCAATATTTAATATTTTATCAATTGTGGAGCCTGATAATGCATGAACCACAGCTTTAGCGGCATTTCGATGGTTTTTCTGGGTGCAATGTTTTGTTATGATGTGACTTTTTACCAATTATCAAACCCATCACGTAAAGAATTTGTGTCCTCTCTTGATCCAAAGCATAAAAAAACAATGCAATAAATTTTGTTTAGTGATAGAGAGTAGGTTAGCCTTAACTTTTTCTGTACAACTTCAATGTTATTAACTTTAACTGATTAAAGTAATACTTAGATAACCATGAATGTTTTGTTGGCTGATTTGGCCCCTATACAATAAATTGCTTTTCATCAATCATCTTTGCATATTTCAGCTCTAGAAATTTAGCTGGATTATTTTAATTAACATTTACAAAGTTGTCTGGTTGCTACTGAATAATCTTTTCTGTTGGAGTTAGGTCCGCTGCTGCAGTTACAGGCACTTAGTTGTTTTGGATAATTACCAGCTGCTTTCAATTCATGTTATCGCTTTTGAGCTTTTTTTTCAGCACCAGATTTGTATTTACATGTTACCTCTTTCTGGACCGATAGTAGTTATAACTAATTATAAATAGTAATTATAAATAATAATACTACTTTTAAATTCCATGGACTGATAGGGAGTAGTCTAGAACATATTGAGTAGTAATGAATGAATGTAATAATAAAAATTCATTAATTTTATTTATCAAACAAATATTAACTATGTTTATCAATGAAAAGCAAATAAATTCATACATTTTATATATTTATTGTTTTGAGCTTTTCAATAACAATTTTCATTTTTTTCTGTTGACGGGATGGTTAATTTCATCAGATAAAAAGGAGACATCGTTTAATCGTTCGTCACTACAATGCTTGTTTTCGGTATTTTTTTTGTTTAGCAATACGTCTGCCTTTACCTTCTTCTGTTTCAGCTGCCGTTGCCTTAACATATCGTTCTCTTCGTCCTTTTAGCCGAGATGCTCGTTGTTCAGCTGATTCATTTGCTCTAGCTTGAAATTTCCGTTCTCTTTCTCCAGCAAGACAAGCTAATCCATCAACTTCAGTTTCCAGGTTTCTTTTTTATATTTAGCTTTCTTCTTTATATTTCTACGTTGATAACAGAGCCGACAACAATGACGGGGTCCAGGGGGGACGTGCCCCCCCCCCTCATTTTTTTTTTTAAAGGACTTATTATTATTATTATTTTTTGATAAATATAGAAGGCTTATTTTAAGAATTGACAATTGTGCCCCCCCCCTACTTGAAAACTTGTTTTGTCGGCCCTGAATCAACAACGTTTTTTGTAGTTATTATTCAACAGCGATTTTATTTATTTACGCTAAATAACGTTTGCTTGTTTATTAAAACAAGCAAACTTCGTTTAGCGTAAAAACTAATAAGTTAATTAAAATTTTTAATTACTTTTTTTAACGATTGCTTTTATTTAAGCTAAAATAGAGTTAATTGTTCCTTTTATTATTACCGTTGACCTAGTGTTTGTTTTGCGCGGATGCCAAAAAAACAAACAAACCGACGCATCGGTTTGTTTGTTTCTATAAGTTTCTATGAGGGCATTTTTTACAACATTTTATTTAACTTGCTTTCACGTCGCGACGTGAAAGCAAGTTAAATAAAGTGTTGTAAAAAATGCCCTTATAGAAACTTATAGAAACAAAATAAATTTTTTCTCTTTGAGGATTGGGGGCCAGTTTTTATTTAGGGGCCTAATTTTCTGAGCCAAAATCAGGGCCCCGTGCAAGTCTTCGTAACCTCGTACTGGGCTACCACGTTTTTGATATGTATATAATACAAGGTATTATTTTGGTTTTTAAACAATGAGTTAAATGTCCATTTATTATAACGTCCTTGGTCGCCCAAATAATATTCTACGGAGATTTTTTGACGTTAAAATTCTGGTGTAGTATGAGGTTTTACTAATATGTTTTTCAGTAATAATAAATTTTTACCTAATTCTTTATTAAATTTTTATTCATTTGTAAAAATACTTGTAATAAAGTTCTACTGTCCATTGCCGACAACACGGGTTTCGAGAAGGAAGGGGACAATTATCAATTTCAAAAATAAAAACCCTTTTTATTTAGAACTAAAAAAAAAATAAAGTCCTTTTAAAAAATCAACTAAACAATCTTTATCAATTATAGAAGACGTTGTTCTTGACAAGTAATAAAAATGATTTTAAAAAAAAAAAAATTAACCCCTTTTCTGAGAACTTCTGTATAAAAATTTAGGCTTTATGTAGAGTAAAATGCTAAATGCACCAGTAAAGTTTATGTTAAAACTGCCTTTTTATTAGCACTCTTTTTCTGAAAAAAGGTTGCAAGTCTAAGCTGATCAGATCGAAACCTAAAAAATAAATTTATACTCTCACCTGCCAAACAAAAATGGGGTGGGTGGGGTGGGGTGTATCTTAATAAACAGAAGGGTTAGAAATATTACTATAAAGTCTAACAAACGGGGAAATCTTAATAAACTGAATAAACAGAGTATTAAACATTTAAAAAATGAACCACCTTTAATGAAAAATAACAGAATTTGGATTACTTTTTTAGCAGTTTTTAATATAGTTTATGCTAAAACGGGTTTTATATTAGTGTTACTTTAGGTCTAAAAACCTATTCAAAGCTAACCAGGTTGAATTATAACGAATAGATTAATACTCTTATCAAGTAAATGGAAAGATTCCAAATAAATGACGAGCTCAAAATTTTATAAAAAGTGAATAATATAAGTAACAAACTTACGACGATAAAATTTTCTCAATATTTTGAATGGTTACATCATAAAAAGTTAACATTAGATAAATTTAATTAGAAGTGATTCTGAATTAAAGATGGTGTAACTCGTTGTATGTCTCAAAGTGTACCTTATGAGGTAGTATTACAATTTCCCTATAACTGTTATTTATTGAAAATTGTTCTTATTGATTGTTTTATATATTTTAAAGTTTCAAATAATAAGTGAATTAATGCATATATATCCACTTTTAAGATTTTAAAATTTGAGAAATTTTTTCTATAGTCTTGCCACACTTTGAATCACAGCTTAATGACGAAATACATGCTATCTAAGACATACAACTTTTATTGCCGTCGTTGCGACGTTTTGTATATATATTGACATAAATAGGGATAGACGTAGTGAAATAAACATGAGGGTATGATTGATCAAACTGAGGGTATGATTTAAAAGATGATCAAAATGAGGGTATGATTTAAAAATAATGCCTTTCGGCATTTTATAAATAAATAAATCTTTTTAAACATTTTAAATAGTGTTGTTTCGATTTTTAAATAATTTGACTGTCGACAAAACCGGCTAATCTAATTTTTGAAGTCGACTAAAATTGATTAACAATATATTTGTTCATAATTCAACACACCCACTTTTAGTGTTTGAATCAAGGCTTTTCCTCGTGCTCTAAAAGTCAAGAATCACATCTTTTTCTCTCTTGGCATGAAATTTTTTGCACTTAACCGATTATAATAAATTACGGCCGTATTTTCGGTCTTAATTAAACACGAACTTAATTAAAACGATATCAACGGATACCAACGAATAAATAAAAAAATAAAAAAATATATAAAAATGGCTGAAACATCGAAAGCTGAAATGGAAATAAATTTTTCTGCACTAAAAAAACATGATCAAGATATTATTCGAATAATTGATACCGCTTCATCTGTTGCACAATACAATTTTAAAGCTTCTTTAAATGTTTGGGTAATTAAAAATTACTTATTATTTTTTTGTAAATACAGTAAAATAATTTTTTGAAATACTAGGTTTATTATTTTAACTTGGTGCTTCAAATAAAATATAATGTTGGAAAACTATCGTTTCTTGACATGTAAATCCAATTTCATTTATGTGTTGAGTATTAAGTGTAGGTTAATGTTATGGGTATCAAATATTTAGCAACAACTTTTTATTACAAAAGTTTTTGAAGTAAATCTTGGGTCGAACAAAGTTTTAATAAAATCTTTTTATTAAAAATAGCACTATAAATAAGAGTTTCCTTACACACCTAAATTTAAATTAAATGCAGAGATCTTTCTTTAAAAGAAAATGAAAAAGGTTGAATATTTAACAACAACAACAAAAAGATAAATTTACTTATAAAAATAATAAATCATTTAAAAAAAAAGAAATGACTTTTTAAGTTTATGAAAAACTTCTTAATTATTTTTTTTATTTTTCTTTAATTATATATTTTTACTTTAATACCTAAATAAGTTTTAAGTATAAATTTATAGACTTATCAGAAAAATCCTACCGAAAAAAAAAAAAACAGTTACAAATAATAAACTCAAATAAACATGTTTTAATATTTCTGTTTTAATTGTAAGAGTCAAAGGAGTTTTTAGTTGATATAATTATTACTTAAATACTTATTTTTCTTTCATGCTGGTTATATATTAATGTACATGACACATGGGGAAAAAGGTATAAAATCTTTTTTTAAAAAATCAACAAAAATTATTTATTTCAACAAAAATTAATAAGACGCTTTTATTGTAGGGTGGGTTAAACCAAATTATATTTCTTTTTCTTTTGGGAGGTGTCTTATTTTTTGGGTTGTACTTTAAGTTAAAGTTTTTAAAACCGTTTTGTTTAAGTGCTTCTTCGTATTCTGTTTTTGAAGCGTTAAATATTTTTTCATTGGAAGAATTTTGCGATAATTGATCATTAGTGGAGAGAGGGATCTGCTTAAGAACTTGGGGCGGGTGGTTTGATTCAATGTGGATGCAGAGCAGTTGGTCATTTTGTTTTTTAAAAGGTTGGTAGGAGTTTTTTTGAAGATTAAAAGTTACATCAAGAAAATTAACACTGTTTAAATTGGTTTGAATATATATTAGGGTGTTCCAAAAAACAATATTAAAAAAAAATCTGCTCCCACCCTCTAAATGTGTTCTATATTAGGGGCTATCCATAAAGTACGTACGCAGGTATGGGGGAGGGGGTTTCCCAAAAGTGTACAAGTGCGAACAAGGGAGGAGGGGTGTTAAAGACAATGAGTACGTACGCGGTTTGACTATCTCTCCTAAACATGATTTTATTTTTTTTAAACATTGAATTTCATGTGTGTAACGAATCAGAATAGTGTTTTTTTTTTCTAGCTTCAGAAAAAAAAAATGAGTTAATTTTGAAAAAAAACAATGCGTACATACGGGTAGAGAGGGGGTCTTTGAAAGCGTACAGGTTTGTAAAAGGGTTAGGGGGTCCTAAATCAGTGATTTTACTGCATACGTACTTTATGGATGCCCCCTAATACAAAAACACTAGGGATAAAATTTTTTGGCTAAACCTTGCTTTGAAAAATGGCCCTCTACTCAAAATAGATTGCCGACCATTAGTTTGACCTAATGTTGCGTCCAACCTATCGTTGCATCTGTTACACAAGTTTGAAGTTTTAAAGGCTATAACTGAATATTTAGTATTCTGCTAACAATATCTCCAAAAAGATCTTCAAGAACAAAAGCTTTCCAAAATAAAAACACTAAAAAAGCCTATAATCTTATAGCTTTAAACTTATTGTTAACAATATAATATAAATGTTAACACTTTAATTTTTTATAACTTTAAAAAACTTTATAATTTTAAACAGTCAGTTTATTTAATAATTTGCCCGAATACATTTATTTTAACAATATTAAATTAAATGTATTCGGGCAAATCCGATTTTAATTATGGCATGTTAACAAAAAGGTTATAAAGAATAAAACCTTTTTTAAAACTTTTTTTAATTTTTTTTTCCTTTATGAAATTATTTAAAATCTAATATATATATGTTCCAGTATTCTTAGCTTCTTATTAAATGTTCTTAGGTTCTTATTAAATGTTCTTAGCTTCTTATTAAATCCAGCTTTTTATTAAATGTTTCACTATATTTTGTTCAATAAATATGCGGAGAATTACCGTACGCCTCAATTTTTTCATTGCGTCTCTAGACCTTCTTTGCGGTCATGCGGGTCTTTAAAAAAACTCTGAAGGTCTTTCATTTTCCCTATGCGGTCGTGCGGGTCTAATTGTAAGCTCAGAAGGCCTTCTGGTACCCTTACTCATATAGATGTCACCCCTCCTCAAGTTACTGTGGTTGGAATAATGTTCGATTGCATCTCTTTAGGTTTTATCTGACATGTCTGTCAAACTTGAATATTTATTAGACAAAGTGTTCGGAACAAAAAAGTTTGTTATTTTAAGCATATATATGTATATATATATATATATATATATATATATATATATATATATATATATATATATATATATATATATATATATATATATATCAGGCTTGGTCGGGAAGCGGGAGCGATCGCTCTCGATTGCTGACCACATAAATAATATTTAGTTGCGAAAAGCAGGCCAGATTTTTTAGTCTTTTTGAGAACATTTTAAAAGGCAAAAAAAAAAAAGCAACAAAGAATAATTGGACCGATGAGAGACAATTACAAAAAAAAAAAAATTAGGCAAATAAAATATCTTTAAACGCAAAAAAACTTAAAGCTAAATAAATTTTATTTAGAACAAATATTTTCAAAACATCGCTCTTTTATAATTTTTTTTTATAAAATTAAGCGATGTTTTTTATATAAAGTAACAACTTACAATTGTTTAAAAGGGAAACAAATATTCTTTATTTAACTAAGTTTGCAAGTTTTAATTTTGCTTAAGCTAAATTATTTCATAAATAAAAAAGTTAATTTTTTCAATACCTATTTTATGCTTCTCATAGTTTGAAAAGTTTAACATATTTAAATCGATTCTTCTTAGTAAGATAAACAAATGAAATAATTAAATCATTGAATTACTATAGGAATTAAATTATCAAGATGGAAATTAACTAAAAAGGTTAAAAATATATAATGACCAGGAAGCAAAACTGCTTCACAATATCGCTGATGATGTTTAGTGAGTGGGCTTTTTAATTTTAATTAGTATTTAAAGCAGAAAAAAGTATAATGAGTTTTAAGAATAGCAACTTAAGCGAAAATAATTAGAGTTAGTAAACCAATATCTAGAAACTTTTCTTTATATCTAATTATTTGCTATATATATTTGTGTTCTGTCGTGACCTCAGGCGCGATGCTTGTTCATCCGCGAGTTACTTTGTATGCGTTGTTTGTGTTTAGTAACCAGAAACTTCTAATATGTTTGTTACATAATTAGTTTTATTAACTTAAACGATTATAACTTCATTGAAAACGCAATTATTTTTGTAAGTCTTTGTTTAAATCATAAAAATTGCTTTAAAAGATACATAACGATAAAAAACAAATACACAAAATTACATTTACATAAAGAATACAATCTCTTTTAATATAAAAAATAAGAATAAACTAATAAAATCTATGATTTATAATAAACTTTTAAAATTTTATCAATTTAATTAATATATATGTAAACATTTATTTTCGTAAACAAATAATATATATTCTTAAAACAATGCTAGAAATCTCAAAACGTAACAAATCGTGATTAATACAATTTCTAAAACATTTCAACAGAATACTCTAGAACTTTATTTTGCTTAATCAGCGTATTTTTTGAACCAATAGATTTAGTTTGCTCGTTAATTTGACGGGTTTTTAGTGTTCGCAAATATTCTTTTTATTCTTTCGCACAAAGATGTTTTGAGAACATTCAAGTTTATTATGTTTCCATGTTGTCCGCAAAACGAAAATTTTTTGTTTCGTACACAAACTTAAATGTTCTCAAAACGACTAAAAAACTTGGCCAGTTTTATGCAACTAAATATAATTTCCGTGGTCAGTATTCGAGAGCGATCGCTCCTGCTTCCCGACCAAGCCTGATATATATATATATATATATATATATATATATATATATATATATATATATATATATATATATATATATATATAATCTTTAAAAGTCATTTTCTTGTTATACGATAATGATAAAGTATGTAAAATTCAATAAAAACAGCTGCGTATTAACTTTTTAAAAGATATATATTTGTTTTTATTTTAATATATTTTTAATATATATATATATATATTTTTTACACCTGATGACGCTGATCATAATAGATCAGCAAAATATCAAAAAAAATATATATATATATTAAAAATATATTAAAATAAAAAGAAATATATATTTTTTAAAAAGTTTATACGCAGCCGTTTTTATTGAATTTTACATATTTTATATATATATATATATATATATATATAATATATATATATATATATATATATATATATATATATATATATATATATATATATATATATATATACATATATATATATATATATATATATATATATATATATATATATATATATATATATATATATATATATATATATATATCAGGAAGACATGCGATTTCATTTCTTTATATGACCACGCAAGTTACATTTTGCAATGACGTTTTGACCGCGAGTCATTCAAAAAACATTTTAGAAATGTGCTAAATAAAAAATATTCTAAAAAAGTGAAATTAATTACATCAAAACTTCTCAACAAATGTTTTTATATTAGCGAAACGATTTTAAATAAAGTAACAATTTACTGAAAAAAAGTTTTGTTTTTTAAATATAAATGACAGTTGTGTATATTTTTATAATTTAAAACATATAAATTGTTTAAGTGTTCATTTCTAAAACAAATCTTATTAAAAAATAAAAAATTGTTTTGTTTTTATAAACAATGACATTCTACGACTACGAAAGTCTCTTTAACAAATTTAA